ACCGTACGTTTAGACATCATCATTGACTGCAGCGGTTACAGAAACGTGATCGTTGTCGTCCGCGATCACGGCAAAATCATGAACATTTCCCGCGGCCGTGTATACATCATCGTCGTCTCCCGCGGTCACGGAAACTTCATCGTCATCTCCCGCGGTCACGGAAACGTAATCGTCGTCGTCCGCGATCGCGACAAAATCATGAATATTTCCCGCGGCCGAGCAGATATCATCTTCGACTCCCGCGGTCACGGAAACGTCATCGTCGTCTCCCGCGGTCACGGAAACATCATCGTCATCTCCCGCGGTCACGGAAACGTCATCGTAATCTCCCGCGGTCACGGAAACGTCATTGTAATCTCCCGCGGTCACGGAAACGTCATCGTCGTCGTTCGCGATCACAGCAAAATCATGAATATTTCCCGCGGCCGAGCAGATATCATCTTCGACTCCCGCGGTCACGGAAACGTCATCGTCATCTCCCGCGGTCACGGAAACGTCATCGTCATCTCCCGCGGTCACGGAAACGTCATCGTAATCTCCCGCGGTCACGGAAACGTCATTGTAATCTCCCGCGGTCACGGAAACGTCATCGTCGTCGTTCGCGATCACAGCAAAATCATGAGCATTTCCCGCGGCCGTGTAGACCCGCGGTCATGGAAACGTCATCGTCGTCTCCCGCGGTCACGGAAACGTCATCGTCGTCGTCCGCGATCGCGACAAAATCATGAACATTTTCCGCGGCCGAGCAGATATCATCGTCGTCACCCGCGGTCACGGAAACGTCATTGTAATCTCCCGCGGTCACGGAAACGTCATCGTCGTCGTTCGCGATCACAGCAAAATCATGAGCATTTCCCGCGGCCGTGTAGACCCGCGGTCACGGAAACGTCATCGTCGTCTCCCGCGGTCACGGAAACGTCATCGTCGTCGTCCGCGATCGCGACAAAATCATGAACATTTTCCGCGGCCGAGCAGATATCATCGTCGTCACCCGCGGTCACGGAAACGTCATCGTCATCTCCCGCGGTCACGGAAACGTCATCGTCATCTCCCGCGGTCACGGAAACGTCATCGTCGTCTCCCGCGGTCACGGTAACGTTATCGTTGTCCCCAGCGGTCACGGAAAGGTCATCGTCGTCGTCCACTATCGCGGCAAAATCATGAACATTTTCCGCGGCCGTGTAGACATCATCGTCGTCTCCCGTGGTCATGGAAACGTCATCGTCATCTCCCGCGGTCACGGAAACGTCATCGTCGTCGTTCGGGATCGCGGCAAAATCATGAACATTTCCCGTGGCTGTTTAGACATCACCGTCATCTCCCACGGTCACGGAAACGTTATCATCGACGTCCGCGATCACGGCAAAATCATGAAAATTTCCCGCGGCCGTGTAGACATCATCGTCGTCTCCCGCGGTCACGGAAACTTCATCGTCATCTCCCGCGGTCACGGAAACGTCATCGTCGTCGTCCACTATCGCGGCAAAATCGTGAACATTTCCCGAGGCAGTGGACAATCATCATTGGCTTTCGCGGTTACGTAAATGGAAGACGACGATCGCGGCAAAATCATAAAAATTCCCGACTTCGAAATCAAATTTAAGACTAAATCCCGACTTTTCAAGACCATTTTGAAATTCAATACTAATTCCCGACTTTCCCGATTTTCCCGACTACTAGACACCCTGGCTCGAGAACGGTACGAGATAGGACATCGGTTAAAACGTATTTTTAATCCAAAAAATATTACCAATAGAAAAGGTCATTGGGTAAAAAGTCGTATCTTAACTAATAAAAAAGTTATAACAATAATAAGTTTAACAAAATCTACATCGAACAGCTATTTTTTTCGAAAATCGTATGGATTGTTGATAAATAATAGGGTAATTACTTAATTACTCGGCTAAATATTAACTAGATGCATTTTCTTATAAGAAAAAAATACATTATTACGAATACATTTGGTTTAAAATGTAAAACACGGCCTCCAAACTACATATAATACTTGGGGTTTCGCCGCAATCAAATGCATAATACAGACTACCACTACAAATCCAATTTTAATTATTATAATGTTGTAGGTTATTACAATATGATTATGTAACAGATTCTTATTTAATACAGTTATATGAAATAAAAAACATTACTACAAAAGTAAATACCTTATAATAAAAAATACGGCAAATCTCTTCATTCTATCCATAACAATTACACTGGTTGTTCATATTATTTGTTGAATTAAAATAGGTACCTTTTTAATTTCTCTTAGCACCTGTAATACAAATAAAAAATTGTAAATATTTTCTTTGATACAAATGTATATACATCTATATATAATTAATGCATGAGAGCGGTCAAGAAATTTAAAAAGTTTATGGTGTTTATATTTACAATGGAATTAAACTACTATATATTATATTTCATATTTAATTATTATCTTATTTGTTTGATTATTTATTTATCATTATTTCATTTATATACTCAGTGTATAATGAAATACAAAATACAAGCAATCATTATTTTAAAAACGGCAGCAATTATAACGCAACCTAACGGACGAACCCCAAGGCGTTTGGAGGCCGTGTTTTACATTTTAAACCATATGTATTCGTAATAATATATTTTTTTCTTATAAGAAAATGCATCTAGTTAATATTTAGCCGAGTAATTAAGTAATTACACTATTATTTATCAACAATCCATACGATTTTCGAAAAAAATAGCTATACGATGTAGATTTTGTTAAACTTATTATTGTTATAACTTTTTTATTAGGTAAGATACGACTTTTTACCCATTGACCTTTTCTATTGGTAATATTTTTTGAATTAAAAATACGTTTTAACCGATGTCCTATCTCGTACCGTTCTCGAGCTACAGTCATTTCGATGTATAGCGCGTTCCGCCATCTTTGCCCCCCTCCCCCCAAGTTCTCGACCACCTGAAAAGTAGGCGACATGCGTATTTTGTATCATCACAGTCCATATTACAACTATCAGCAAAGATATTTGATATTACTTCTTTGCGACACTCACAAATTAATTCTACTTTCGGTAAAAAAAAACTACACAAAAAGTCCATTTTTACATATTTTATACAATAACTTGTTTATTTATAGAGATACGACCTCGGACTCAATGATCATTATTGTTGTCCACATTTTTAGGATTACAACGACGTTTTAACCGATGTTCTATCTTTTACCGTTTTCGAACTATCAGCGTTTTAACGCATAGCGCAAACCGCCATATTTGCCCCCTCCCCCCCACCTTATCGACCACTTTTGAAATAGGCGACATACGTAATTTTGATCACCACAGTCCATATTACAATAATCAGCAATAACATTGCGTACTACTTTCATGCATGCTCAACCCCCCTCAGCTCCTGGACTACTTGTGGTTTTGTCAATTGAAAGATAAAATGTTTTGAAAATGAAAGATAGATTATTTACATGTTTAATATGAAACCATAAACAGTTGTATGGCACTAGGCAATCGCCTCGGCTTGCCGAAAGTACGAGTAAGAAGTGAAATTTAACAGCCATTATAAAGCTATTATTTTTACGATAAAATATGTTTGGGATCTAATAATAATTACCCTAGTAATAAAAAAAGAAGTTGTAAAGGAATTAAAGTGATACAACTTTTATGAGCTAGCTGCTGAGTCAACAGTTCTTGGAAGTACTTGACTTGACACTTGATTGTCGTGATAAAATATTTATGGGTTTGAGATTGTTAATGGGATTTTTATTGCATAATTACTCTAGTAATAAATAATGAAAATGTAAACAAACATCTGATAAACCTTTTATGTGCTCCCAACCAACTAGCGATCAATAAAATTATGGCCCATTAAAAATTTAAGGACATAGTCTAGCATTTAAGGACAATTCCCACATTTCATGGCCAGTAAAAATTTAAGAACAATTCCCGGTTTTCCCGGATTTCCCGGTTGGTAGACACCCTGTATTATCTCAAGGCCACCATAGACACAGGGGATTCAATATGAATAAAGATTTTATAGCAGAGTACTGTAATTCAAATATTAATTGTATCTATACATATAATTCCGTAACCCAATCGGTCGCTACAAAATATCTCGAGCTAGGAAAGGAAAAAGGTAGCATGGCTGTTAAGGATTCATTTGAAAGCTTAAGGTCCAAGGACGGTGGGAAAAAATATCAGAAGTGTCAAAAATTACCCTTGCTCTGCCCCAAGATCCAGTCATTTTCGAATGGAAGTACTGATACAGTGTTTCTATAAGCTGTTTTAAAAATACCAGCTGATGTAAACATTGCACATTTGTTTGTTTATTGATTTTAGTGTTTTGTTTTTATTTTAGAAGTGTAATGCAGTGTTTATATGTATCGATGGAGAGTATTTAGGAATGGTGCACAGCATAGAGGAAGGGTAGCAATTTAATTAATGCTATGGGCCCCCTAGTTTATGATTGAGTGTCATTGTGTAAACCTAGACATTATACTTAACTTAAGAACATGAATTGTGTGGGTGTGTATTTATTTGTACGAGAGGTCGTCCAGTGGTCGAAACTCGACCAAAAATATGTAATGTACTCACTTAACTATTTTCACCCCACACTGTAAATAAAACATGTGATTGGAGTTTCCTCCATTTGTTTTGATTTTCTGTTTATATTTCGTTGTTATTTCGTAACCAGCATAGCAACGCATAAGATCCATGTTATTTTTTTACAACTTTTAAACTTATTTTTTGTGCTTATCTTTGAGCCTATTTAAATTTATAAAGGGATTCTGCACACCTACAGGAAAATAGCTTTCCAACGGTATGCGTAGATTTTCCCTACGATGCACACGAGCTGAGAAAAAAGGTTTTAAAGAAACATGCTTGCCTATTAATATATAGATAGATTGTCTATGTTTAAAATTAATTGTACAAGTTTTAAAGTAAAAACCGTTGTTCACAAGAGTCGCTGGTGATGAAAGATGAAAAAATAATCATCTCTTTTACTGTACTCACCATATGCCAAGTGGTTGTTGAGGCCGTGGTGTGTCATGTTCTCTTTGAGGTACTCATAACATGAGAAGTACATAGCGTGAGCCGGACCTGCCCCAAGCACCACAGCCCCCATCCCTCTCACAGGCCTCAGCAGACCTTCTTGGCTCACCATCCGCTGTAACACCTCCCCTATGCGGTACGATGTTGTTGTTGATAGACTCTGCATCCTTGTCTGGAAACAAACAGCCAACTTAATGTTGATTCAAAGACCATATTTAAGATGCCCTTGTCTGTAAATTAGGGTCTCCAACGAGCTCATGACGCAGCGAAGCAGCCTAGTAACCCTAACACTGAAGCTGTATTCTTTACTTACCCCACAACCAACTATTCTAGCCAGTCACTACCTGTTAGTATTGTCATAGAAGCCATTAATGATGAGCCACCAAGTATGCACCGCTTTCTTTAATTAAATTTTCATGGTTTAAAGGTGCTCCTATTAAAATTCATTGTCAGTTAACGGATTTGACAGATGTCTCTGTATGCACATGAAAAATGTGTGAGTGGTGGAGGGAACTTGCAGGAAGTCCTACACATTTGCATGTCAAAAGATTAAAGTTGCAGTGCTATAGGATTTTTTTTTAATTGTAAAAAATTGTTGATATTATATTAACTGAATGTGACTGTATTTTTAGTCCGTAGAAACAACAAAAAATAGAGGGGATAAAACAGAGGAAAACACAATCCAATGAAGAATATAATAAGGTTGCAAGTACAGTTATCCCTTATAAGTCGATGCAACAACAGTAGAGATTTATACAATGGCCATTATTTTTTTTTATATCAATAAAGGGGAAACAAGGAAAAATATATAAACCACATGTTAACTATCAGTAACATTTCAAACATAGTTATCTACAAACAAGGCAATACCTATTTCATAGTTACTTTCCTCGACTTATCTTTGCTGTAATGACTCATGGGAAAATAACTGACAATACCTTTTAACAGATGTTTTTATGCAACCATAATTTAGATGGCACACCATCGTCTTATAGAGTGTATGTAATCAATAAATCGTTTCAGTGGCTCATAATTTAACCAAATTAACATTAATGCATTGTCAAACTTCAATGTACAAGTTACTAACATTACATACTGTTCACTGCAATTTATGTCTGGCAGGTCATCAACCATAATAAGTGGCTCTCTTTCCCCCTATCTCCCTCACAGTCACTGTTGTGGTGAGCGAGTCAAGGTTGTCCTCCTTGTTCATTGATCACACCTAGTTTACAACTCTATCTTCGCCAAATATTAAAATGTCTCACAGCCAAACTCAAAACACACATGAGAAAACTTTTGAAATGGTATTGTAAAACAATGAGAAGTTTAGCACCTTTCCTTAGTTGATGAGTAGTTTACTAAAAATCAAATATCTATTGAATCTATTAGTCAAGAAATGATTGACCAATTCATTTGACAAAATTATTTTAAACTACATGGGCAAACCTTGATCGTAATCAAACCTCACCAAGAACAATGGAAATATAGTTTTTTGAGATTTTTAAACAACCGGGATTCACAGCAACATAAATAGTCATTCCAGACTTTTTAGGTCCAAGAAAAATTTCAAAAGTGCTATACTTAAGTACTAAAAATGTTATTCTTCTTACTCTTACAGTCTTGTGTGATTAAACTGAAAAAATAATAATAAATAAAGAAATACCATCTTATATAAATAAAATTAGAGTTTTGTCTGTACATTGCTCAGAATCGTAAATTTTTAGGTTATTTTTACGTTTTATACATTAAAGAAGCCGAAACAAGTCTCATCTAAATTTCTGTCTGTCTGTCTGTCTGTCTGTCTATCTGTCTGTCTGTCTTTCTGCAACACTCAAGATGGCATTTTACGCAATCTTCTCCAGGAAAACGAGAGTACCTATCAAGACCCAAGTCATTTTAATGTATTCACTGGATTGGCGAGAGTGTCTTTAGCCATTAAAATATGGCCTCACTACTTTATAATTAAAATTACGGACGTTCAAAAATGCAGTTTTGTGCGATTTTTGTCAAGTTTTCGTCCAATTTTTATCACATAATCATCTATGAAATAACGAACAGCTGTTCGGATCAAGATTATTTTTTCTAGCTGTCACTGAAATGTTTACAAATGTTGTTTACAAACACCGCAACCATTTCCAATCACGTTTTGAAGGCAAATCCCACCCAAGTGAGATTAAAAACGTTTTTCTTACATAAAGGATTTAATTAATCGCAAGTGGAATAATATAGTGTAATCGTAAATTAAATAACTAGGCATCATCCAGGTCAGGAACCAGACATTCTTTGTGTATAAAATTGTTCTGGAGTTTTGATAACCAGAAAGAAGACATTGAATCAGTGTTGTATACGGCTGGGAAACTTAAATTTACTAATGATCGTCACCAATAGCTTAGAAACAAGGTTCCACTCATTGACGGCTCTTCAATGGCGGTTGTGTAAAGTGTGAAGTAAAACATCACAACTGCAGAGGGTGATTGTAACAGAGGTTTATGGATGATGCTAAGCTCGATTTTCCAATGTGTCACTTTCTGTTCCTACCATTGACTATATATAGTTAATAATAATATATTATTAAGTTACACTACTCACCGTGTGATGCAATCGCTGGACCATACAGCCAATAGGCCCATAGCCCATCTCTTGGGTACGTACTCTTACAGAATTATTTTTATAACAACCTTTTCGACAACGTTCCTTGATACCGGTACTTTTCCATAGAATACACGGCCTACCTAGGTACTTAAGAAATAAAATTACAAACGTCCAAAAACCCAACGTTGTGTGATTTTTGTCACATTTCCTTATAATGTTAATAGATATACCTGCAATCATTGTTTAGAGAATAAAAAATCTATTAAATAACAGAAAGTTATGTTGTATAAGGTTGTTTTTTTTTTTCAAACTGACACCGATAAGTTTACATTAAGAGTTGTGTACAAATAAAGCAATTAATGGGAAATAACTTTGATTGCCGATAACTTTTTACGAGAAAATCCAAAACCAAGAGATCAATAACCTTGATTAACGCATATAATTGGTCGGCTGTACTACAGTTCTTAACTGTTAGCGTTGGTTTTTGGTACGGTACTGGTTCTTTTCCTTTTAACCTTTAGTAGCAGCAAGAATCATTTTTACGTACCAACACATCACAGTAATTTACAAATTAGTTATCGTTGGTGTTGCACCTTATTTATTACAGGCGTAGGCCTATTCAATTTAATTGATGTCTTAACTGTATAATTTTTGCTTTTTCTGTCTGGATTCCAAAATGTTAGTTTATGCTAAGCGATAACGCATTTTAGTAAAACATTTATTCAGCAAACCATCATGAATTGTTCAAACGCTTTGAACGTTGTTTATGTATCAATAGTTCGTGGTCTATTTTGGTAATTTTTACTATAAATCACCAATCTAAATCGTCTATAGTAGGCCTACTGTACTTCATTTCATATAGCAAACCGATTCAGATAGCATTTCAACAGAATTTCGGGTCATCTCCGGTCCAAGCAATAGCAAATATAAATTGTTATGATAAAATTTTATGACATTAACAAAGATTTCAAATACTAATTTTATATGTACTTTTTTATGCTTAAAGCGTAGCAAATTCCCTAATTAAGTTCTGTATTTTTGTGTGTATGTCTGTTGGTAACGCATTAATGTCCTTTATTTCTCAGTATTTCACGGAAAGGACAAGAGCACCTTGAAAATGAAAATGTCAACCCGAATAAAGTGTTAAATTATGAGTTTGAGGTAGTACCTTAAATACCTTTAACCATTATGTTATAGTCCTTTAAATTCTGAACAAAATTGTACAAATCCCATTTCCGTATATTTACTCTCACCACTTACACATGATAAAGGTTGTTGACAAACTTATGGGAGAAAGTATGTGTCAAGAATGCTGATACCGTTTTTTTTAGTTTAATCATTGCATTTAACATATGGACCAAAAAGATCCGGGTGACATTTAATTGCGAAGCATTAGTTTTGGCTTGAAACTGTCAGATACTGTATTTGCGAAGGAATAGTTTTGTCAGCATATCTGAAAATATGCAAACCAATTGCTGTGCTTTAGTATAAAAGAAGGTTTTAACTGACTATGATAAGATCCCCGTGCGTAGAACGGGCACACAGCTAGTCCTAAATAAAGTGGTGGGTCTTAACAGTTGTTGTTGTACTCTCAAGCTGATTACACAAATGTTGCTTTTATATTAAACTAAATTGAAATGGTTTGGCTTCAAATACAGGAGGTGACGTCAGGCCAAAACCATGAACAATTGAGCAGTCATATAAGGTACGTCAGAACTAATCTCTCATCTTATCTATAAACACAATTTGGAAAATATAGACCAACAATTTCTATATTAAAACAATAACTATCCAAAATATATGTAGAATCAGTACACACATCCTTTAACTTTTATGAATTGATAAGAGTTTATTAATGGTTTTGATTAGTTTAAATTTGGAAGCGGCCAAATTTTCTAGAGCCTTAACCTTTCACCAATGGTAAAAAAAGGCCTATCTTTATAATGTTTTGAAATATTTAAACTTCCCGGGACTCTTTGCATTTAGTTGTCAGATAATTATTTAAAATAATATTAATTTTAATGAGTAGTTGGGTTTGCTGCTACAGGTACCTAATAAAGTTAGGTTTTTATTGAAAAATAGCTTAGTATTAAATAAACAGATTTGCCCAATTTGATCAAAATACAGTATATCCCTAAACCAGCAAACAATTTTGTTTATTTATTATTCTTTAAAAGAACTTATGAATTAAAAAAAGAAATTTATAATTTGTTTAGGTAACCATTAGGCGTACAACATTGCATCAATAAACTAAATTATTTTGGTTTTTTAAGCTTTACAAAATAGTTTAGAACGGAATTTCAAAATGTTGTGTTTAGGAGGTCAAAAATGGAAAAAATATATTTCCAGCCCAGCTGCTTAAAACCCAGTTCTCATATTCCGATCATACTGGTTCAGGACAAACTCGTTTTATAAAATGTAGGTTTACATGTTTGTACACCAAATTTCATAAACATCAGATTATTTTTACTCGAGTTATCGTGCTAACTGGCACATATTAATTTGAACAGATGGTCCTACTGGAATCTGAGGATGTCAAAACAAAAATGTTAATTGGTCCCGGGGCTAGGTCTCACGGCG